TTTGCTCCTTTTCTGATTGAATGCATTCTTTGACGTGACGGAACTGATAGGCTGTTTTGTTTGAAGAAGAAATATTTCGAAATCAATTTTCAAACAATTTAATTTTCCTTTGCATTGATCTTGTTAAGCTCAGCATCATCGCAAGGAGCATATTTATTATTAAACTGTGATCCACTGTGATTTTGTGTCTTGAAAAGAGTGCCAAACTGTTTTCAAAAACCCCGAAAACGAAGCTGCTTTTTCGAAACAGAGGTTCCAGAGCGAAAACGTATCGCATTCATGCGTTCACACGAGCTCAAAAGCCATCCGATATGATTCCATTCCACATTCACAGCGGAATGGTTTGACTCCGCAAAAACGATACGGAGCGTATCGGATTCAAGCGTCATCGTGTGAACAGAAGGCCTATTCGATATAAAAAGCGATCCGATACGAAATGAATCCGGTATCGTGTGAACAGGGCCATACTCTCAACCATTGTCTGTACGCAAGGTTCCAATTTTAAATCCAACTTCGTTTGTTGCAGAGGCTTCGAATTCTTTAAACCTTATTAGTACCTCGGACCTCTTTCTAATGAAGAAGACTTTGACGCATCTCGAGTAGTCATCAATGAATGTGACCAAATAACGCTTACCCGAAAAGCTCTGTATTGACATTGGTCCACATACGTCGCTGTGAACTATCTGTAATTTTCTAGAAGTCTTGATCCCCTCTGTTGACTTGAAAGGTTTTTTGCTTATCTTACTTTCCGTACACCCTGTACAAAAGTTCAATTCGTCATTTCCTTTGATGGCAACTCCTTTGATGAGCTTTTCTTGACTGATTCCAGTAGCTGTTTTCTATTTATATATCGACGTTGCTAAAACGAGGAACTAGCGGAACGTGCGCGGAACTAGCGGAACGACTGAGGAATGACCGCGGAACGAGTGGAACGACTAAGGAATGACCGCGGAACGACCACGGAATGAGGAGAGAACTAGCGGAACGACGAGGGAATGACCGCGATACGGGAAGAGGGCTGGCGGAAAGACCAAAAAAATTCTTCAAATTCTTTTTACATTTCACTTCAGATTCGGATTAAGAGCAAGGGATTAATGTATCGCTCACGATATTGATTTTGTGACGACATTAAGATAAACATTTTATAAGGGATTTTACCGAGATTGCCGACCATGGGTGTACTGTAAAGTTCCCCCCAGAATGATTTTTGCGGTCAAATCCCTTACAGGTTTTCAAACTTCATTCCTCTGTAAAATCTAAAATACAAGCACAAACAATATGAAAAATTGTATCCAACCTAAAATTATGGCGATAAAACCAAATGTGAGCTTGAAAAGCCGTATAATGAAGTTTGGAGAAATTTCCAAAACGAGACCGTAAGTCTAATTAGAGTATGGATTGATCAGACTAGATAAATAAAAAATAACTTAGAAAATAAATATGAGATGCAAGATATATAAAAGAAATCATGCTGGAATGATCAAGATCTGTCAGGGCCCTCGAAATTTTTTTGCAACAAAATCTTTTGTTATGGGAGTTTAATTTGTAAGAGAGCTGTAGTTGATTGGCTACCTATTGTTTCTGTTCTATTGTGGAACTGCAAAACATTGAATTCGAAATGGCGACTGCAGATGTCTTAGACCCCGTTTACACTGTCCCGTGCAAGTTTGGAACCGTGACAAAACTGTCGCGGTTCGCCCTTCCGTTTACACTAGCACTGTGGAACCGTGACGATTTTGCTCTGCTATCCGGAACAGTTTGGACCCTGCTTTGAAAGCGAACGAATTTTGTACCGTCACGGTTCCGTTTTTGAACGGGACAGTGTAAACACCTATCCGAGACGATTTTGTCACGGATTCACAAAGAGGTCTTTTGTATGGCTGTTTCAGGTAATCGAGGCTTTGATTGTGGCGTAACTACGTTGTCAAATTCTGAAGAAAAGGAAATTCTGAAGAAAAGACGACCACAGAAAAGGCTTGTAGTGTTTCCCAGTCCAAGCCTTGATTAGACTTTGCAGTTTCGTAGTCTAAAATAACACTGAAAATTAAAGCCACCTTGTCGTTCGTCCAAGTAAAATTTTTATCGGCCTTCCATTCCATTTTAACTCTCAATTAAAATTCGATTGTTGACTTCGGCGGCAAAATAAAAGCCTTGGTTGACTAAATACAGCTTCTTCTAAACAATGTTCTGCCATTAAATTTTGAAGCCATTACACTGTACCGGTACAGTGTAAACGGAACGGCTAAACGAAACAATTTGGAACCGCGACAGTGTAAACACTTGCGAACCGTAACGGTACAAAATTGTCCCGGGACAGTGTAAACGGGGTCTTATACTCACGACCATCGCAGCATTCTAGCAGATTATTAAACATTTGAAATAAAACCAGGAGATATCGTTAATTTTCCAGGAGGGTTAACTACCTTTGCTTTAAATTGCAGTCTTTGATAGCACGGAAAACCTATGCTTAGACGGATAACCATATTTTGATGAATAGGCTGGTGTCTACTACGGAGGCAAAACAACAAAGTGCGAGCAAAACAAAAGGGAAAAAATTTAAGTAGTCTAGTGCGAATACATCTCTTAGCAACTTAATGAATAATAAACCAAAACATGACACCAAAATAATGTGCGCCTGCGAAGTTCCCTGACAGTTGTTCCATCAAAAAGTCTTCCTGTTGAGATCAGTGGGTTGTTCCGCGGTCATTCCATGCTCGTTCCGCTAGTTATCGCCTCATTCCTTAGTCGTTCCGCTCGTTCCGCGGTCATTCCTTAGTCGTTCCGCTAGTTCCGCGCACGTTCCGCTAGTTCCTCTTTTTAGCAACGTCGATTTATATATCCTAGTCGTTGATGCCAAATATCTATCGTGCTAGGGTTGCTATTTTCCATCCTTACAAATTGGTGATAAGCTGCTGTTATATCTGTTTCGCAGCTCAGAACGTCCATTCGCTTGACGAGGCTTCCTTTGCCTACAGCCTTACCGTCCGAGTCTTTTATCCAGTAACAAGTATGTCCAAACTGAACAATGAGTCCCATCTGTGTCACAGCTTGCACACTGAACAGGTTGCAAGCTAGTTTCGGAACATAAAGTACATTATCCATTTCAATTGTCAGCTGCTTGCTGTGGCTCGTCTCCATAGTTGTTTGAGCTTGTCCTGATCCACGGGCTTCCACTGTGTGTCCGTCACCCAGTTTGACTGATTTTGTTTGAAGTCATATGCTACGAGGCACTCGAATCCAGAATCCATTGTAGGTTTGTCTCATTTTCTGTTTGTTCATTTTCAGCGAGAAAGAGTTGAGAGTCAGATTCATCATCTTCCTCCTTTCCTGCAGTCTTAGCATTATGTGTTTCATTTTTAAATGAATTGTTTGGCCTCACTTGTTTTCTTTTGTGACATTCAAAGCTTTTATGACTGTGTGTCCGTCACCCTCCTTGCCACAGTTATAGCATTTGCCTTTAAAAGGCCTGTTTATGCCCTATTCCGAGTGTAATGCTGAGGCTCGATTAAATTTAGCCGTTGTTGTTGCTTTGGAGGCCTGTCTTTTTTGCTCTTCATTGATAAGGGCTCGCTGGACGAAAGCCAGTGATAATTCATCTCCAGTGATTAGCTTCCAGAGCTGTAACGAGTGTATACCTTAACGAGTGTATACCAGAGTATACCTTAATCTATTAAAGAAATGCATTTGGGTATAAAGTCGTCTTACCTTTGAGTCCTCCTAAAATATTCATAGTTATAACTCATAGGTGTCGGACGAGAATGCAATGTGCTGTTTGCTTAACCAAGGGCTTGCTTAAAAATTGTATTATGCTTAAACAATTGTATTATGCTTAAACAATTGTATTGCTTTTAAGCAATATCATTGTACACAAAATATGCAGTACAGTTGCCTCATGATTTGCATATAGCATTAAACTCAGAAGTTTCATTCATTTTGTGAGGTATACATGTTTCACAACACTTCCCAAAAATGTTTAGCACCTTTTCCCAAAGAAATAACACAACAGATGGTCATAATTCTAATATAGTATGACCCAAGGACATAAATTATTCACTTAATTTAACACAAACAAACAAAGTCAGCTTCACTTACTATTCCAGCTTTTTTGACTTAAATTTGCTTACTGTATTTGCTAATAAAGAAATTGTAAATGATACGACCAAATTTTCAAAAGATGAGTTATTTTAGCTTTTATAAACAAATAAGTTGAAGAATAGTTGACTTTTCTTCTGATCAAGGAAACTTTAAGTCTAATCCTACCATTTCACGAGATAGCTCGCAGATGGTAAAGAAAGGCACAGAGCTTGAAAAAAAGTTTCCATCTGCTACATAGAGACTCCTTTTAAATACGAACCTATCTGCAACTCCGAAATTTCAGGTTCTTTGCACCTTGGCTTATCTCTTTAGCTGTGTATCTTGTTTCCTTCGTTTGCTAGTACAAGCTTCAATTCAATGATTTACTTGAACACTTTCAAACTATCTTCTTTCTTTTTTTTGGCTTTCCGGAAACTTTTCTCGCTATTCCACCTTACCGAGAATTGGCACTAAAAGAAGTCCACTTTTGTAAGAATTTTACATTTTCATAAGGCAAGTGACCATGTGTCAATAATTTTCTTTGATAAGACATGGAAGCTGTGGCAGTCACAAATAGAGGAAGAGAAGATGCAGGCAGCAAAAATGAAAAGGTTGCGATGGTCATTGGGCTTTGGGCCTAGCAAGACTGGACAGGGTGAGAAATTTGAACGCAAAAATTGAAGATAGCACGGCAGAGCGGAAACAATCATACTAAATGCGTTATTCTTTCGCTCACTTGTTCTTTCGCACACGTGACTTTCGATACGCATATAGATATAAACTTTCTGCCTACTTTTGGACATTATCCGACGCTCAAACTCTAAAGGGTATCAGACGAAATGTACTTTGTTTCCGCTCTTACATAAAATTTTCTCATCACCATTCCTGCAAAGGGGAGGGCCAAAGGACGAGACAAACGAAAGAGCTGTTCTGACTGGAAAAAATTTCACGATTACTTAAGAGAAGCAAACAGTAAAAATTAAAACTTTAATCATTTCAGTTATAGTTTGTATCCTTCGGCTCTTTCAACGTTTTCTTTTCTCTTTTTAGTTTTTTGTCTCTCCTTATCGACGCGTTTTTCGATATTTTCTTGCAACTGACTAAAGAAAGCACTGCTTGATTTCAATGTCTTTTTCAACTCATCATCTTCTTTAACAATTTGTGTATTTCTCGACGACTTCTTCAGCCTTCGAATAGCTTCCTCTTTGTTTTCCTTCACATTGATACCACGGCTCTTCCTTTCTTGCAGTTTCCTTTCCTTCTTCTTTACAATTTCCTTCTTTCTTATCTTCTTCTCTCTTCGCTCTCGTTTTCTGTCTGTCACCGACTTTTCATCCTGTCCTTTTATGTCACTTTTCTTTTTATCATATATCTCTTCCGGTGCTAACATATTTTCATTACTCACAGTCACGGGTGTGAATTCTTCAATCTCAACGGACGGTAGATTCGAAACCACTTTCAGTTCCGGTTTCGGCTGCAAAAAATGAAACAAACATTACACCAAAGAAATAAGCGTACATTACATCAATTTCACATGTTTGAGGTATCCATAGTCATTTTCTCATGACCGTAATAGGCTTAAACCCGATAATTCTTAGTCTAGCTACCAAAGTAAGGCAAATTTAAGTCTATGAAACAAGTCTAGTTACCATAGGCAATTGGGGCGAATATGATGAACTGAGACACTGCTTAGTTAATCACATATCAACAAACGCATTTCGCTGGCCATTTAAATTTGCCATTGATTGGACTACAGTCGGATAATTGTTACGTATCCAGTTGGCTAATTCTGTTGTTAACTCTGAACAGTTGACTGACGGGACACAGTGCCTTTAAAGGGGTACACCTGTGCATGTTAAAGAGGGGTATACTTTGTCTTGAACTGAATTTCCAATACTTATACTGTATTGAAATCTTCACCAATGGTATTTAAACTTCCTCTGTGGAGAGGGCATTCCTAATTTTGATTTTAGCTGCGGGAGTCATATTTTGAAAGTTTGTCTGTAAAAATGTTAATTGATCAGTGGAATTACCAGAGAGTTGGGACAAAGTATGCCTTTGTCGGTAGATTTCCCTTTTATACCCCAAGAAAGAAAGGACAAGATAAACCAATTTACAAAAGTAAAAAAGTAACTGATTCTGTTCCAGGACTATCTCATTATCTTTCTTGTAAGAAAACAGAACAACTAAACCACATTCAATGAAAACAACATGAACTGGCTACAACACAGGCTGTTAAAAAATAGCATGATGACCTGAAGAAGCCATCAAAAATTGGCAAAATGGCAAAAGTACCTGTTTGGGTGTGTATTGGAAATTTGAAAGAGCATCTAATTTTGCAAACAATTTATCCATCATGTTTTGAATGACTTCGTGTCCTGGGTTGGTTTCTTCCTCTTTGTCTTCCTGAAATTGGCAAGAAAGATAGAAATAGTTAACACTGCCTGTTCATCTAACAACATTTACAAATCTTTCAAGAAACGCCACCACACCCTGCAGAATTTTACATTACTAAATCAGATTTAAGGCTGAAACTGGTGGCAAGAAATGATAACAAGTACCATTAAGTCTTGATACGATTCGATAAAAGGAATGAGAGTATCCTACTAGACTTGAAATAGTGTTGAAAGAAATCTGATAAGACATCAGCAAATAAAGCTTCTTAACAAAATAACAGTTCATGGGTTTGGCTAAATGAAGTCAACTGCATGATCTATGAGTTGATAACAATTATCAGGGGTGGTGCTAGGTCATATGGAGTGAGCCTTCAACAACAGTCTGAAAAGATGCCTGCTGTTTTAAAAACTTATAAAAACATATCAAAGTTTGAGAAGCAGATTTTAAATGCTTCTGTTACATAATCACATGACATTTAGAATGTAATCAGTGTGGGTCAAAATGTACTTTCTAGGGCAATAAGTTTGTTTAATGTTATGCAAGGTTTTTAGTCAACAGTATTGCATGCCATTGCGAAGCTCAATATGTACATTTTGACAAATATTTAATTACCAGATTATTGACAGTAGATGTAGATGAACAACAAATCTTTCAAGTGCAAAGAGGCAAGGATTTCCTCTAGCCATCCCTATTGCAGCCTTCCAAGAAATTTGTGCTGACAAAATAAGTGAATATCGTACCTTTGTTTTCTTGATATATTCTTTTTCATAAACTTCAGCTAAACTCAATTTACTTTTCTCTTGATCCAAAGCAAGAGACTTTTTGTATTCAAATGGTTTTTCAACAGGCTTCACTTTTCGCATGACATCATCCCATGCCTAGAGTGATGGTATATAAATTAACATACATTAAGTAACTTTGTTATGTAATTTCATGGACAACAGCTTGGAAAAAAGAAACTCTGTTCTTGAACAAATAAGCATTATGTGTAAGAAGGAAAAAACAGAGAATATGCTGTCCGCCAGATTCTGTGAATCTTGCAATGAGTAATAACATGGAAAATAGTAAGGAACAAAGCAACAAGATGAGGAGAATCCAATGTATTTATATATAATTTTACAACAAATAAAATTTTATAAATACTAATATTGTGCCCCACCATACAGGGCTTTATGAGAGAAAATGTAACAAATGAGTAGATAAATTTGAAATGTGTATAAATGTGTTTTCATAAAAAAGTTATCAAAGTTCTGGCCAAAAATTATTTGCACAAGATGCCAAACATTTGTCTAAAATCATTTTTGCAAACGTTTTTTTCAATTTTGTCTGCTGAAAGTTTCTGTTGGACCTCATGTCCTTTTGGGTTTAACTGACCTGAGTCCTTTTCATATTGAAAACAAAATGTCACAAAAGTTACCTGGTCTTTTATTCTTTGTTTTATCATTTCTTCCAAAGTTTCAGTTACCTCCTCTGTAATTTGTGGAGCTATAAGAAAAATTATGATGTGTTTAATGTTAATTACTTTTATTTGTAGAATGCTGTTGATGGATAGATGAAATATCAAAATTTTTATACAGTTGATGTGTAGAACAGGATGGTTTTAGGTTTCAAATCCAAGTTTCATGCTTAAAGAGATTATCAGGCAACTTTGATCAACATCGATATCATTTGCAAAAACATCATGGATATCAAATGGCTAATCTCATCTACATACAGCAATTATAAGTACAATCAAATTCTCAAGCAATTAAATCACCTCAAAATACATACCACTTATCAATGTCTGCTCAAAAGACAGGTCCTCTGCTAATAGGCTGTTCTTAGGTCTCTTTGCAGCTGTAGCTTCACCAACCAACTGCCATGGCTTTTCAGCAATATTATCTTCCTCCAGTGCCACAATTTTCTCTTTCATCTATAATTGTGTAATATCATGGTATGATAGATTGAGTATTTTCATTTAATACACAAACAACATTGATTGAAAAAATATGCAAGGAAACACAAACCACTTTGGAAACACAAACCATTTTGGAAATAAAAAAACTGAATCTTTAGTTTACTATGTTATGTGGCAAATATGCTTCAAGAAGCGAAACTTTAACAAATTTAGTGTCACTATTGTATTTCTATGTAACATAATCAGATACTTGATATGCTTTATGCTATTTCATTTTTTGAAATTTTCAATTGTTTTCCGTTTTATAAGTTCTCTAAGCTGCTGTACTTTGTGTGTCACTCCTCAATGAACTCATTAGCTATCTGTTCAGATTTCATGAGCTTGTAGTGACCACTGTCTAAACATAATCATGTCCTTCATTGTGTCATTGTCTTCGTATCCAAGTAATGTAATAAACAACACATTTGTTGCATCCCCTTGTTTAATTTTTATATGCCCTAAATTGTAGTCAGTCAGTAAATTCATCAAGATGTAACGGTCATGCAACATCGTCTCTTGCTGGTTCCATGTTTTCTGCATGTTAAACAAGATCTCAAAACAACAGCATGCCCATAAAAGAACTTCACAACATCAAGTTTAAATATAGGTACATCATTAACCAGCATTCCTATAAGCTGATAGCATCTCTATATATATTAAACCATAAATTCAAGAAAACTTTACATATAAAAATTAACAAACCTTTACTGATTCTTTTTCAAATCTCGACATATTCTTTTTTGCCTCATCCTCTTTGGCCTTTCCAACATCACCATCATCAAGATCCATATCATTTTGGTCATCATCAGAATCATCATCAGAATCATCATGGCTACCCACATCACTCTCTTCTACATCTCCACCTTCTGTCTCGATTACAGCATGTTCATTTTCAGACGCACTTTCACCTTCATCATTTTCATCGCTGTTATCACTGCCATCATCAAATCCATCACCAACATTGTTGATATCTTCAGAATCGCCATCTTGTTCTGCATTATGACCCTTCGTCGCAGCTTGTTTTGAAACAGCATTCTCCCCAATAGTTGGTTGATCAAAAAAATCTCCATACATCATCATTCTGGCATTCTTGCTTTCCTTCTTCTTTTGATTTGAAGATAGCCTGGTGAAAATAAAAATCATCTGAGACAAACTGACTCACTTCATTTACTTATAAATCCAGAAAATAACCCTGTTACCTATTACAGTGTAAATTCAAAGTATGACCTCATTACCTTTCAAAACAATAGCAAGTTTGTGGACTAGTTAATAACTTCAAACCCCATGCACTGGGTTAAAGATTTCAGCCAATTGTCTGGAGAAGTACATCTTACTCCAGGAGTCTATGGTCTTACAAATCTTAAAAATGCCAATAATATAGCAAATAAGAAGGCTGATTTTCATGATTTCTTAACTAAAGAAGAAATAGCTTTTAATGAAAAGACAATTTTTCGGTGTCACCTATATCTTATTTGTCTAAATTTGTCTAAAAAATTCAGAATACTTTTTGTCTAAATGAATACACAGTTTCACTCTGTTAGCTATTTACATCATATTTATCCAAGTTCTCATATTCATCTATATTTTCAAATCTGTGTTTCTATTCTGTTTAACTTAATATCTTCAAATTTTAACCTCACATGTTGTTATGTTGGGACCTTTTTCAAAAGAATGTGATAATATTGAGCTTTTTTCAGAAGTGTACATACCTTCCAACAGCAGCCGAAGTACTTTTAATGACTTTATCAAAGGCATCAGTGTTGTCGTCTTCAGATTCATCATCATCTAATATGTCTTCAGCAAAATAATCTACTCCGTCTGAGTCATCTTCATCGTTTCCAATGTCATAATTTCTTGATTCTTTCTTGTCTTCTTCATCAAGAAAACGATTCATATCGTCCAATACAAAAAACGAGTCATCAACAATAGACTTTTTCGCAATTTTTCGAGGAGTTTTCGCATTGCCTCTGCTTTCATCGTGGTCAAAATCAAGGCTTTCTGCGCTTCTAACCTCGTCTTCTTCACTTTCTAAAATATCATTTGCCTCTGAATTATTTTTGAATTTACGTTTATCATCATGCGCATTCTTTTTCTCTTTTTGTACAGTTAATTTATTTGACAGTTTTTTTGACTTTACAGTGGCATTTTTGGAAAGACTTTTGTCTTGAGTGGCGAAGTTTGGAGGCCCTTTTTTCGAAAACGAATCTATTTTTGATCCTATTATTCTCAGGATCGGTTCATTGCCTAACTCTATTTCTTGCCAGATCTGCTCTGAATCGAATCCTTGGATATGGAATTTTTTTGGTCCACATCCACCTTCCCATAGGCCTTTTTGTTCCTTACCTTCATGTTGTTGCACGTGGACTGCCCCAGAACGATTTGAAGAAGAAAAGTCTGCTAGATTTTTCGTGCTTCCAATAACAGTATCAATAATTTCTTGCGAACCATCAAGTAGTGTCACTACATCTTCAGAGAGACAATTTATTTTTCTCAGACATTCCGAAAGGATTTCCACCGTTGCCATGTCTTGGCCTAAACTCGCAGAAACACAAGCATGAGGATAAAATGAAACCGAGGCACGAAGCACTTGTGGTCGAGAGCTTTGCAAAACAGGAGATTAAGAAATGATTTTGAAACAAGTAAACATGGGATTGTTAAAAGTAAAGATTGGAATAAGGGCAGAGGTATAAGAAGTTTTGAGGCTGCTGGAAACAGGGCTGGGTGTTCCCCAAAAGGATGCAATAGCTGCTCTTTGAAATATGACATTAGATGTAAACATGAGTAACCCCAGTGAAAACCGTCCCTGATGAGGAATTTCCCGATCTGAGAATCCCTTTAAAACATAAAATGTCCAGGCATTTTTCTACTTCCCCAAGTTCCCTGAAACCTGGGATTTTCCCCAGTCGTTCTTAAGTTCCCTCTTTGGCACGGCATAGATTTTTGGCTTTATTTGAAGCTAAACAAGTCTTTTCCATCTTCAGTTTTTTTTCGTAAAATTTTTGATAATTTCGTGCGAAGAAAAAGCTCACCAGCTTGTTACACAAGAGTGTCTCTTACTTTTTGTTGGTGTGCCTTGAGAGTTAGAAGCGTTTTTTACCTAAATCTTCCCTCAGTTTATCAGTGCATCGTTTTATGCAGATCATTCGTTGCTGCCTAGCTTCTGAAAAATGTTTTAAGACAGCGAGAAGAAAACCATGCTTATTGAGCAGTGACCTGGCCTTCCTCTCGGTCTGACCACTTTTATATGCAGACTGCTAAATTTCAACCGTTTGAGGGTAAGGCAGATTTCTCGTCTCGTTATGGTCTAAGATTTGTTGCATAACTTCCAAAAATCTCGCGTCTTTGCTTATTGCTACTTCGTCGCACATTCTCTGGTACTAAGAGATATTGGTGGGTGGGAGGGAGGGGGGAGGGGAGTGATGGAATAATGTTATGGAGGGCGGATTTTTCCCGTTCTAATTTAAAAGTACAGTATCCTTTTTAGAGATCAGTGTTATGCACAAGTATATTTTAGTTTCGATGTCAAGGTCGCCTTGAACATTAAATTGTAGCATTATATTGTGTATAAATATTAGTTGCGAGGAAAAAAGAAGTAAAAAAAATTATGAACAACTTGGACGACTTAAATCTCGTTGCCAGTGGACGGGTAACGTCAAAAGCTTGGTGTATGCTCCTCTGGAGGACTGCATCAGTTGGGCGAACAAAGGGGGTTGTGGGAGCACATAAGGGGCACAGAAAGTCCTCTAGGCTGAATGACGATGATGAATGACAGACCGTTCATTTGATTCAGCAATAAAAATGGATCAAGTCACGATCCTTGCGGTACACCAACATTTATCACTTTAAATTAATCTGAATCAATGTTATTAGCCCTACAAAACTGTTTCGGATTTGACAAGTGGGACTTAAAGCCATAAAAGCTCCCTTGCCGAACACTATATTAACAAAGCTTTTGGTAAGGAAGGTTATGATGAACTGCATCAAATGCTTTTTGAGGTAAATAAAGTTCCATTAATTTGCTTAGGCCCAACCCATGGTATCGGTAATCAGCACTTTTAAGATGGCATTTTAAGGAAGAATGAGGGCTTAGAATGCCAGACTAATCAGGCTAAATCAAGTCATTTTCGCTCTTGTACTGGTTGGAGACGGCAAAAAGTTTGTTCAGTCTTGAGATGACAGGCAGGATAGTTATAAAATTGTAGTCTGACGTGTATACCCTATCTCTTCTATTACAAATAGGAGAGAAACCATAGCTAGTTTTTATGGGAGTCTGAGAATCGACTTGTTCAACGGATGCATTCAACATATTGTTCAAATGTTCTCATTAAGGGACAAGAAGTAGCTAGACATAGCGTCATTCCAAAAGCTCTTTGCTTTCTTGAAGTTAAAAATTACATCACAAATGTCTTGAAGTTGACAATTACATCACAAATGTCATAATTGATTTAAATTGAAATTTTGTATCTCTTTCTTTGTTAGCGAAATTCTGCAATAAAAGGAGGTCCTCTATCATTAGATTCTGCATCATTTACGTTCTTCTGTGTTTTTTGTTCTTTGTGTAGACTCAAGGAGCTCCTTTTTACCTTTAGATTTCATTTACAACATTTTCAATAGGCAAGCGGAACTGATTGGGCAACTTGTGCTGGTGATTTTGATTCGACTATTTCAATCCACAACTGGGTATATATAGTTCCTACTTCCTAGATTAGTGATTTTAATTTAGTGCCTGTTAATTTAGTTTAATTTAATCTAGATTAGTGTCTATGCTCTGGCTTTTTATCTCTGAAGAGTGTAAGATGAAAAGATTCAGCGACTTGACTACATACATATTCAGGAAATAAGACTTCTTTTAATGAAAAGATGAGAAAATCATACGTTTTTGGCTATTATATAGTTCAACAATCTAAGTAAGTTGGATTGGGCTACAAGAATCAAATACGTGTGCAGAATGGTCTTAAAACGGTTAAGAGTTTATAAATAAAATAGTTTTCTTAAAAATTGATCCTCTTGGCTTTGTTCTAATTTTATCCTTTTTTGTAGATGTCCAAGAAGAAACGCATTTGAAGCTAATGAATTCTTTTTCTTTAATTGTACATCAAACTATCTTGATTTTATCATTTTAACATTTTATTATACTTTTAGCCTCAATTATAACTACAATGATTGTCAATAGGTAGGAACACAGGCGCTTGAATGATAGCAGATAGTTTTATGTCTGAACAAGTCAACCTGTCAAAATATTAAAAATGTTAGTTAGTACTGTTCTTGCCTCCAAGCGCAACATATGACCCAAAAGATCATAAAATCATCAAAGCGCAAAACTATAGACAGTGGAAAATAAAATTAATACAACTATGTTGATCATGATGCAATTCACATCAAGGCCCTCAAAAGTTTTTTGTATTTGGCTATCTAGCTTTCGAAAACTGTATTAGGACACTAAGAAGCAATGCTTATCAAGCATTGTCCTGGTCCTTCCTCGACGTGACAACACCTCGTGATTCATGCGCCTTGAATAACAGAGACCCGGCGACTCTTCTCACTCTGAGTGAAAGTTTCGTCAGGTGCTCGAACCACCACAGACCCTTGGATCTGTACTCAGCGACCCCAAAGACTGAGCCATGTTCGCACCTAACATTATCAAGCATTCAAAAACTTTCAAAACTCTTAAATCTATGGCAAAATGAACCGGCAGAGGCAATTGTATTTTCTGCTGGCCAAACAGCCATACCGGGTGGTAAATCAGGCTCAACAGGTCACAAACCCTTTGCATGAATATCATCCCTTGTTAGACAACTATGTGGGTCAATTGGTTAACAGGTCGACTTAAATTATCTAGCAAGTATCAAAACAAAATAGCAAAATCAACTTAGTAATTTGTTGGTAGGAAAGCTCAGGATGATTACTTCAGAAAATAACTTCTAGTCAGCTAGTTTCAAAGATTACAGGACAGAGAGATGCCACAGAAGACTGTAGCGATACATTCAATAAAATGTTTTATTCATAGATCAAGCATGTAGATATTAACTTAATAGAAAAAGTTTTCTAGGCGATGATGTCTGCAAATGTATACAAATCATTGCTGTTTATCTTGTCTGTATCGCAAATGTTGGTGCTGGTGATGTTCTGGAAGCAAATGTTCGCACCAGAGACAACAGAGCAAAGACGAAGATTAGAAACAAGAGCTGCATGTGATTGTACCCGTGGTTCTTCTGCAGTTGATAGTCACTCTAAACGATTTGAAAATATAAATAGTAATGAATCTAACGAAAATGTTGGTTCGATAGAATTTAGTAACAGGCTGGATGATGCATCCCAAAGCGAGGCTATCAATAAAACGAGGCAAGCAGAATCCAAAGCAACAGAAGAGAGCAAGCCTATATTGCTAGTGGCTATTATCACTGCTAGACCATATAAGGAGCGCCGGAGGGCAGTCAGAGAAACCTGGCTCCAAGATTGCGATCCGGAAAGTAATGTCATATGCCGGTTCTTCACTGATTCGCAAGATAATAAAGGTGATCCAATCGATCAGGAAAGTTTGGATGAGTTGTATGAGGAGTCAGCGGCTAACAGAGGCGACTTGGTACTGTTAAACTCGCCAAGTGGCACCAACTTTTCTCTTCGCCTTCTTGCTCTGTTCGAATGGGCGAAAAGCAATTTAAAGTTTGATTTTCTGCTCCGAATCGATGATGATCACTTTTTATGTCTCGACAGGCTGCTAAAAGAACTTCCATTTAGGCCAAAAACCAGACTCTACTGGGGCCATCTTCACTGTAATGAAGGTATGCAAAATAGTTCTTTTTTCTGCAGTTTTCTAGTATCAATGTGACTATTGGGTCAAACTACCTACCGAAAAACGGTTATTTACGCTCCTATCAAGAAATTTAATAAAATCATAATCTGTTTTATAATATCCCAAAGTCGAGTGATCATGAAAGCCACATGTTAAGTGGAGCAACAAGTTGAGCTACAAATACAGTATTATACCAGTATATCGCATTTTGTTGGGGCCAAAAAATGTTCGTGAAAGCTGTGATTATTCATACCAATGATTCAGTATACAGTGAAGCCTACTTGATTTCCTGATAGGAATTCCTCGTTGGCTTTGGCGATTTTCTAACACGAATGTTAGTTAACCCTTTTGGAACGTACTTTAGCAAAACTGCTCATATGCTAATTTTCATGTTTACTTCTCAAAGTGCTGACTAAATGCTACTTTTCTTGATTTGCCGACTAAAATTTGGCCAAGGGGGGTGCCAAACTATTTTTGGCAAATTTTTTAATGGTGGGTACATGGATGGAAGAATTTTTTGAGAGGAATGAAATTTTTTAGCCTTGTTTTATTGGGTAATCAATTTTTTTTAAATTTCAAACTCTCTTAAGTTAGATGTTTCTACTTTGTTTTAGGGATTGTCAGAATTGACGAAGGTATGATGATATTGACAGCCGATCTTATAGAAGAATTCCTGAGGAACAGAGAGAAACTCATGTGCCACAAATATGGTGACCAAGCAGTAGCCATGTGGGTATACAATTCTATGAAAAAGAAACCCGTGACTTGGTTTGGGGACCCAAGAGTCCATCATGATCCACCAGCATCCTTTCTTTATGAATTCAAGAGAAGGGAGGAAATTTGTCACACGTTTATAAGTTTACATGGCTCATATCCAACCGATATGAGAGATTTTCAGAAGGTTATTGAGAGAGAAAGGAGACAACTTGGAGCAGATTATACCGTACCACCAGTAGCTGACTTTTGTCCCTACAGAAGAGATTACTTCAACTGGCAATCGCTTAGGGGACAGTTCTATGCCAAGCCTGTTCCTTGCAAAGATGAGCCTATTTGGGTAACTAAAATGACAGAATACCAGGGTAGGATGTCTTATTATAATTTTCAAGAGATGGCTAAGCCTACTCAAGTTGTTGAAATACAGAGTGTTGATCTTCAGTATGCTGGAGATAGCCAAAAACAAAACGAGGCCCACCATGACGCAAGCAACGACGTCAAGAACCATGATGGCGGGAATGGAGCAACACAGAACTTCACAAACCGAAGAACTTAAGAAAATATTGAAGCACTGTGAAGTGATTTCAGTTGAGCTGAAAACGGTGTAAATGTAAACGTGCGTTGTAAATAACCGGCGAACATGAAAAATCCGGATAGGTGTAATGTTTTACTAGATGTCATAATCTTAGGAGAGTATTTCCTGGCCCTAGGCGACCAGTGATACGTTAACACAGTCAAAAAATTCCTCGACATGTATAACACGAGGTTAATCGCATTATCCTGACCGGATACTTCAGTTTCGTCCAAGTAACCTCTAGTCATTTTTAACTTGAGAGTCACTTCAACAGAGATTTGCTGAATTTTATTGAAATTCAAAAAGGCTGTCAGAGTCTAGTTGCCTCATAATATTTGAAATACTTAAACTCAGATTTAGAAATAATCAGCTTCTGGTTAAAAGTGCGTCTGCTTCAACTAAGCAGTACAGAAATGAATCCTGTAATTTTTCATTATGAATAGTTTAAAAAAACATTCTCTTGAATAATTGAAGACTATTTTTGCTAGGAATATGTCCAAATAAGAGGTTGCTGCTAAAGAAATGCTATTCGGAAAGAGTGATTCAGTATTTGCCTGTATTACTTTCAACAAAAAAAGTGACGTCGCAAGAACATTTTATATCAGTTTTTGTAAATAAATTCAAAGTGGTTACATAGATTTATAATCAATATCAAAGTCTTCCTTATGTAATTCTTTTTATATAAAAGTTCAAAATGATATTTGGCCACATTTAAGAGCAGGGCAAGAACCACGATTAAGAGCACGTTCAAAATATAAATCAAAGATTGTGGAAAAATTTGAGTTTGAATGTTAAAGTTGAGTTTTATGAAACTGCAAAGATGCAAAACATATGTATTTATAACAAAGAGTAATTGCCAAAACATAACACGCTACATACATGATTATATTTACTTACATTGCTTTACGCAATAAAAGGATTTTTAGATCACAAGAAGTGAAAAATGGGCCCATTTCGTTAAAAAGCGATGGAAAATGAAAACCAAATATATGATGATTCTACGATAAAATCTTTTCAATAACCTATCCACATTTGAGCCTTTATCCGGAAAATAAAAGTTCTTATGCAAAGAGACTGAATCTTTAGTTGTTCAAGTCTATGCTGTGTCTTATGTATTACAATCAAGTTGCATGCCAGAAAAAGTTAAAAGTGTAGTTGAATCAAAAAGTCGAAATCTTCCTAAATTTCGTAATTGGCATTGCATATACCATTAATCTAATGTATCAGTTAGGCCTTCTTCAGGTAATATAAACAAGATTCATCAATTCAGCAATAACAGATAAATAAATTAAATATTGAAGATGATGAGAAATATTGCCAATATCGTAACTTTAGAAAGGCTCATTCTAATTTTGTGGGTCCATTGGGTATCAATTTAAAGGTTGTTGCTATTTCAAACAAAAACTACACCTTTCCTTGGAAACGAATCCTTTATAATTATTGGACTAGATTCATTACTTCAAACTTTGGCCGAGTACCAAATATTGCTTGAATGGTTGCAAGATATATGCATAAAATAAACAAATACATAATTGGCTGATACAATATGTTAAAAAGGAGTGCGCAAAAAGCACTTAATATTAATTCTTCAAAGAAATCTAAGCTTAAATTTCTTTACGCATACACAAAGTCGTAAACTAAAGGCTGAGGAAAAAAAGTACGCTTAAATTCTCACGTTGTAGGTCAACGTACAAAACAAATCTTTTATCTGTCATTAAATTGTGAGATGTACATCATTTTTATTGCAAATTTTTGTGTCCTAAGACAATTTTTATTGCAGGCCTTGGTCCCCCAGAAAACCTAAGCAGAAAACTGATTTTGTAAAATATGGTTGGTTTTAAACTTATTTATCAGGTCTGCCCCCCCCCCTTCCCAACAAAAAGTTGTATCTCAGTTTTTGCTTGTGATTTACATTCTTCTACTAAAGATGCTACCATGCTACGCTCTACAAGCAGTAAAACCTGCCGTGATAAAACAATTAACACTCTTAAATAAAGATAATTCTGATATCAAAAAATCTTTTTTACGAAAAGACACAGCTAATCTCTCTAAACTCGTTCTCCATCTCAATATACTTGGGCAACCTGATGTATCTGCAGCGTTTTATTTCCTCCATTTCAAATTCAATCGGCTTCACTTCTGGCCCATAAACAGGTAGCTCTTGCCAGTCAGGGTTTCCCCCGTGTTTTTCAATCAAACGACACAATTCAATGGTTTCCCAAATTGTTTCAGTCGTGCAAAAAGCTGATTTAGCGCGCTGTCTGGTCAAACTACTACTTCTTCTTGGCAAAAACGGCAGGGCTCCCAATTTTCTTTCAGTAGACTCGTGACAACTGTCATTAGTCTCATTTTTGACAGCAGAAATGTTATCATCTTTGACCTCAAGGGTACACAAAATGTTATCGTTACTTTCAATCTCACCATTTTCGTTAGTTGTATTTGCACCCTCGTCCAGATCTTCATTCGCATCCTCTGGATCTTCACAGTCTGGTTTGCAATCTTCAAGATTCTCGTCAGAGACATCAACATTAGAATCTGTTTCCAACGCATCCACGCCTTTTTCCTCTAAAGTATCTCTGTTTCCATTGAAAATTGGATCCTGCTTTGCAATGTACTTGGCAATCGTATCTGAATCGTTCACAAAAGCCCTTTGGAATTGAAAATCATGCAACATCTCGGTGGCTGGCAAAGATTTTGACCTTTGCCGTTCACGTGCTCTCTCATTTGGCTGTTGATTGGTTGCTATTTCTTCTTCAAATCTCACAGCCGTCGTAAGTGGGGATTTCGAGCGTTTAGAGCAAGACATAATACTGTCAGGACGGTCAATTTCGGAATTTTCCATTGAGTTTCCTTTCGGCTGTTCGTTAGGACTTGCGAGCGAATCTGTTTCTGCAGGTTTCGCAGTAGAAGATTGCGTATGAGTAGGGGCGCTCTTGGTCAATTTCAACTTTTGCCTATAAGAAGAAACATCCTTTTGCCTATTACATTTTTCGTCTTCTTCCTTTGCAGTCGCCTTACTTGCAAGTTTGGCACTAGAAAATTTACTGACCAAACTTGTGCGAGATTCATTCCTGTTAACTGTCGTACTCTCCGCGCGAGAATTTTCGCTTATCATGGATAAGTTTGGTAGACCAATGCTCCCGGAACTAACTTTCCTCTCGACTTCAGCAAGTTTTAAGCCAGTGCTATTCTTACGATGCTTTTGATTCTCAAACCGCGAGACCGTTGTTGAAATAGCGCTCATTTGGCCGTCACAGTCGGTTTCTCGCTTATTAATGGTATACCTGCTGCTATTCGGACTGTATGTATGAGACCTACATCTAAAAGGAGCACTTACGCCGATACGCCCGAGGGGATCCTTCTTGACACGGGCAGAATTTGTGGCATTTGGTAATGGTGAAAAAGGGAGGATGGATTTTCTCTCTTTTTCCAGACACCTGGAATCACAAACACCAACAGCTGTCTTGCAACGCCGCAATGCAGTTTTGGATCGGCTGAAGTTGTTCCTCATCACTCTGATATTCAAATCTAGAATCCGCCGTTGGTATTCCTTCTGTTTATCCAAGCAAGCACTATACTGTTTCAGTTCAGAATCCACCCTTACATTTCGGGCTAGTGCACGAACTTCTGAAGGAGACGTCATAAACGAGCTTGCCACTATATACGCCATTTTTCCTAAGCAACTCGAAACCCCTCCAAAACAAAAATGCGAAATTCACAGGCAAAAGTAGTGTTTTACAAAAATATCAACTATTCAGCGTGCTCCGATTACAACTATTATGGTCATGTGTTCAACACTCCTCACATCAACATGTCTTTTAATATCAACCCAATGAATCTGAATATACAAATCGGAAAGATCAAGGTTCCAGTAGCATCTAGATTCGCCAACACCTTACGACTGAAGAACCATCTTTATTTGTGTCACAACGTCAGCTTGACATACAAAAATATGTTTAAAGAGATATTGATAACCATAAAGACGAGTTTGATAGTCTCAAAGTACGCATTCCATTCACACCCCAAGTCACAAAAGAGGAATAGACTGAAGAAACCGTTCTGGACTCCTAACAAAGGCGACAAGGTGTTTGAAATTAATTAATCAATAGTAGATGATTTAATATTCAAGCCGATAGCGGGTTAACGTCTTTTTGGCACGTTTGCTTTTAAACTGGCACTTTACAACGGCTAATAAACTTGGTGTTGGTTGGTCACCTTTCAAATAAACACTTTAAAGCTCCTCCGAATTCAGTGACTTTGATCTTTGTTTTGTAAATCTGATCTTTGATCTTTGCGGCTGCAGGCAATACGAGGCGGAGAAAAGATGGCGCATTACCAACTTCAATACATCGCGTTCTTTTTCCCTCAGTGGACCTACCATGCAAAAGAATGGAATGACATCTAATTCCAAGATAATCTTCTAGTTTATTTATTGGCTTAACCTTCGAATATTTACCAAAACGAAGTAAATAAAACTCTCAAATTGACGTAACATTTCTAAGAGCTGAAAATTTGGATACAATTTCCACGTCAATGCAAACATGTGCAAGAACTCACCACATTCTTTAGACCAATCGACAAGTAAACAGAAAGGAAAATATCCTAAACTATAAAATAGGCCAGTTTGACTACTTCAAGGTATGAACAACAAGGCCAGCGGTGTAGGAATGGGGGATAATAAACACAATAACATATACACCCCTCCTTTTCAAGCTATGCGCAGATAAATTTTTGGCCATCCTTCCAACATCACCTTGATTTATATTTTAACATTAAATTTGAAATTCTTTTTCTAACTGTTTTTGTTTGGCAGGTCCAACTAAACAAATGTTGGAAATTGTATGATTTTTCAAGTAACTATGAAATATATTTAAGCGACAAAGTAGTCTTTGTAGCGTTTCTAGTAACATTCTGTCGATTAACTACGTAACTTGTTAATAATGTACTGCGAGACTGCGTTGACCATTGATAGTGGAAACTGGGTGACCATGTGTCGATTCCCGTAATTTTCATGCTTAGTTTATCTGTAAAATTCTTTACAGAGTAATAGAAAAAGACCAAGATGCAAGCCAAAAATTGCAGATCATTCTCACACAGAACCAAGTCATTTGAATCTCTCATGTTTTGTTCGGTCTTGAGTGCTATGATTAGGCCTTGGGTTTCTACTAACTAGATAAAATTCATAACTAAGCAGAGTGTCTGCGCGTTGGAAATTTTGAGAAACAAACCCCTAAACTATTCATTATCTAACAACAAACAATTCTGCGTCTTTGTGTATCTCCAATTTGGCGCTTTTCTCCTCGAGGTGCGAGGAATGAGCCCTTTGGAAAAAGAATTTTGAAAAAGTAGGTTCTTCTTTTGGGGACCAATAAAACCTATTGCCAGCTAGGTTTGACAAATATGCTGAGTGTCTGTGAAACTTTAATCCAGCACTGAAAATACAGATCATACCACCACGTCAATTATGGCCTTATCCTCGGTCGCAAAAGCCAATGATAAACCCTTTCACCCAGTCAAGTATAGTTTCCATAAGACCAGTTTGTAACTGTTAGGTCTATTTTGTCTTTTAGGTCTTTTAGATTCGGGACGGCTCAAATTCAATTCTTTAACTAAGAAATGTAGGGAGCTGCTTGATGATATAAGATTCAAGCTTAAAAATGTTCTTTTTTCATAAACGAATTTCCTTTGCAATAGATTTTTGTCTGGTGAGCGACTTCTTTTCCCTTTATCTTGCTATCTGCCAAATTTCGCACATACCACCTCAGTTACTCTGAAGTTTGTTAAGATTACACTTACTTAATATTAAAATAAGGTAGGCTTTTGGCTGACTCCGCTTAATTCAGGCTAAAGATCAGAAAAATTCCAAAAATCTCGGTAATCAAAGCAAAAACATTATAAAACTTGAATTTTCGTGAAAATCCATCAATGTGATTGGCTGGTTTGCAAAAAGTTACAAAACTCATTTAAACAAGCATGAAATCCCTTGTAGCAGAATATACCATCGATAAATAATGCTCACCCAACTGTCTTCCAAATTCTTTAAGAGTCGAACGCACAGATTACTTCCATTAAAAGTTGACAGAATGTCTTGTGCAGTGTATCTTTTCCACTAAGTAGCCTTTTGCTTTTCCCATGCCTAGTGCTGGTGAATACAACGCTTCTTTCAAATCTGTCTGGTTTCAGCATGCAAAAATCTCTTCATATTATGACTTCATGTGGTGCGTTTACAATTCTTTATTACTATACACTAAACAAATTCAATAGAATGCCATGTTTCTACGTTTCCAAGACTTCAACAGTTGGTTTCTTTGTATTGCATTGATAATAACTGTGGTTTTGTCCGTAATTGAAAATTTTTTCGAAAACAGCCAGCGCCCATGAGCAATGATACGCTAGGCCAAGGCTCAACAAAAATTCGGCCAATCAAGTTCTTCCTAGAGATGCGAAGTAAGCTTTTCAGTGTGGGGACCAAGCTGGCATGCACAGATATTTTTCTGAAACGTATCTTGCTTGAGCAGCTTTTATCCTTCAATTCCAAATGCCAGGAATCTGACACGGGTATTTTTGAGGCAAATATTCTGAATTAATGGGAGGTGGTGGTAATTGTTCATTCGCTAAGCTGTTTTAATCAGGCCACCTTTGACGATTGTTGAATGATTTCACGGGTTTTCAATAACTGTGCCATGAATAGATACCTTTTGCTTGGTCGGATGTTAATATAATCAAATATAACATAAAACTAACACTGATCATTTTCATTTTAATTTTAAATTATTTCTACAGGGGTACCCCTTCAGCTAGTTCTAATAATACAATAAATTAACTGTTAACAATTAGGATACAAGTTCTATTTATTGACAGTTTACATTCAGCTTATAAATAAAATATAAAATATTAAAAGCTAGGTCGCGGTTGGTCTTCAAAGTGGTCGCGTCTTAGTTGGCCTAATTGAGAATACTATGTTACTCGATGTGCTGTGCTCTTGTCACTGAGAAGGCAGCTTTGAATCAGTTTGTCAATCAAGTTACGTAGGGTAAAAAAAACTAACAAGGAAAGAAGTCAGAAAAAACAGTCAGAAAAAGTAGAGGAAAGGTGAAAAAAGATTGTGAAGAAATGTAGAAAGAAAACCATGGCGACATATTTCCCGCACTAAAAAAAGGTTTCCAAAGAAAAGCTGTTATATACACTAGCAAGAAACAATGGCCTAAAGTGCTCTACTTAACTTGTTCACAACCAATTACGTTTTTAACAAATTCAACACTTTAGGTTCGATTTCCGTTGAGTCTTAGTTGCTTGGCTGAAGTTTGGTTATCAATCAGTGCAGACGAATAAACTTCCTCGCAATAAACTTGTCCGCAGGCTCAATGAATCTTACTCAGTGAAGGAGCTTTCGCTTAAAAGCTTCAAGAAAACATAGCGCCGAAGGAAAAGTAGAAAAATTCGTACTATTTCTAAATATATTTGTTTGTAATCCATTCTGATTCAGTTTCAGGATGAAATAAACAATCATTGCCTTTAACAAACCTCTAAAACCAAAAGATAGCGAAAAGCATAGCAAGTAAGGTCAAACATACTTTCCTTATTTCTGAGACGAACAATAAAACTTCTATGTATAAATGCAGCTCTGACATTAATTTACACCACTAGACGTCGAAATCTACACTAATTAATCTTTATCATACCAATTTCTAAAATCACTACAAGATATCAACTGCAAAATGGACAGTGATGGGATCATTTGACCATATGACCATTTCACGTTTTGTCATACATGGTTGAATAAAAGAAGCATTTCCATAAGCAAAGAATTGCCGTTATTCCGCCACCCCATGCCATACCTATAGATCTAAATCTCATTGTATATCCACCTACAGCTATGGCAGCTATGGAATTACAGGTTCGTGTGAAGTATGAGCATAAACAAGAACAATCTGATTTAAATTAAACGAAAAAAGGGAAGGCCTGAAATTTTAAGATCTATAAAACAATTTTTCTGGATGCTTTGCCTCCTCTCCGTTTACATATCATCGCAACGACACCACTGTGATTAACCATCCACATACAACCATATTTTAACCAATATCGCCAAGGTATGTAAATTTTTTGGCTCTTCGTCCCCCCCCCTTTACTAGACAGTTTAAATGAACAGTAGATCGCTAACAGTCATTAAAAGGTTTTACAGTAGCAATAATTGATTGGTGAGGTTCAAATGATCTTGAAATTGGCATGCTTTGGCTGCGCTGGTATCGTAGTTCAGGAAGTCTAGGCCTTTACTTAAGATAAAGTCTCTGACTTTTAACAGATGATAAAAATCAGCACCATCTAAAAGTGATATCTGTCTACCACATTGCAGATAAAGGACAGAAAGGCTTCTAAAATTGCTGGCGATTAAGTAGTACCTTCCATTACTCGATTATGGTTGCCAGAATTTTGAAGTCAGATTCTGCCAGTTACTTCTTGATCGATTTCTTCGTTATCTCCAGATAAATTATCTGGGCGTTTCATGACATCAACAAACTTCTCCAGCAACATCTTCAGGTGACCAACATCTTTTAAACTATATGCGTCAATCAAAAAGCTTCTAGATGCACATAGCTTCGGAATATCAAGTTGCTCTGAAAACTGTAAAATCAAATGGAAGATATATCAGAAGAATAAACATTGTCATCGCAGAAAGCATTAATTACAAGATAATAATAAATCTTTTGAAAGACAAACATTTTCTATTTTTTCAATTCTCTCTTTCAGACCTTTTTGCAAATCAAATTGTGAAATGAAAACTGACAATTGATGATTTTCTTAAAAACATTTCAAACACTTTTTGCTATATGAACTTTTATCGTAGTTGTGAATTGTGATCAAAGAAGGTATAGAGGGAGACACCCAGAAAGACACTCAGAAGATGATTTGATAAATAACCATTTTTCATTCAACATTTTTTTTTCAAAACTTTAGAAACTGTTCCCTCCTAAAGAACGACGATGATTAGGCCATATGCAATTAGAAGAAGGGCTTTACTAGCAATCAATGTTTACTCAAAATTTGCTTGTAAAGTCAAGATTTCTTTAATCTTCTGAAGACTAGCAAAACCTGCATGCTTTGTTAGTTGCTAAAGGGCTTATATCATATTTCCTGCTTTAAAAGTAATAGTCACTTTGGTAAACAAACCTTTTGAAGACTAGATGAATCACTAGAATCTATTTTACTGACAAGCACGAGTAGAGGTACATCAGTCATATCTCGATGTGATAAAACTTTTTCCAGTTCGCTTCGTGCCAAGGCAACTTCATCGTCGTTTGTTGAACCGTCAACAACAAAGATCTGAAGAGCAAACAAACGAATGAAACTTCAACAATCAACAACCAACTATGGATTGATTTTCTTCAATAGGGAAACATATGGGTATGGCGGTGGTTTGACTGAATCCATGGGGGTAGTTAGGAATTTGAATTTTTTTTGGGAGAGGGCGGGGCAGCGGAGGCCCAATTTTTGAAGAAAAATATAGAAATTACTATATTAAAGATAACGTACAGAGGTAATATACAAACATGTACAAACCAAAGCAGTCATGGAAGAGAGGGTTAAACGGCAACAAGTGCTTGTTTTCGAACTCAGTACATAACAATTTAAATACTACGAATATTTGTTTCTCGATCTGCAAAAATTTTGGTTTGAAGTCCCTCGAGGATAGCGGAGAGGGCCCAGGCCCCTCTTACTACCCCCCTGACTGAATCTATCATTATCAACGCTTCAACATATACCGAATAGCATGCAGATAAAGCCATCCTCCACTTAAAAGAACAACATAAGCTGCCTATGTATTTTTATAGCAGAGATATATACATTGCACTGGGGTAGGGGGAGGGTGGGATTATAGATCAATTAAGTTAGGAACCATGGGTTTTCTTACGGAGCAATTTACCATATGATAAAAGACAATACAGCAAAAATACTGGGATTAACACGTGGTTGTAAAGGAGAACTTTCATTGGTTCATACATACAGGATCAGAATTAGCCAATAGAAAAGGGTCGTCTCGTGGAGTACTTTCCCTGAATGACGCCATTTGACTTGGCGCACGAAGCCGAATTTAAAGTGTATGAGTTTTACAGCTCTATAAAACGAAAACCTGGGTAGCTATGACATAACTGAACATCTCTAAGTAAAAATTTAACAGCTTATTAAACTTCACCCGTACTTCTCGTATACAATGCGGGAACGTGGCTATTTGTGGCAGAAAAATCTTGACTGACTAAGCGATTTGGGGGAGAGGGTCTTAGTGATTTAGTTTGGCTAGCAGATTTCTATTAAACCTAAAACCAAGTTGGCCCTTCTGTGCTTGCAAAATTGTCTTAATTAAGAGACAAAGTATACAAATGTTTTAAAGCATTTAATTTTTGTGACAATTGTCAGGTCCAAAAAGCTGACGTTTTTAATCATGACTCTGGCTCTTGGTACAGTGAAAAATTAAAAATACTTACTAAGCCTTCAACCCCACTAAAATAATGGTGCCAATACCGACGTATAGATTCTGAGCCTGTGGAAAAATGAAAGATGTTCTCTTACAGGAAATATAGAAGTCATTTACAGAAATATGAAAACTAACTCAAATCTTGGAAAGATTTCCTGGAACTGGCAAATCGGAACAGACTTTGAAGGTAGAAGAATATACCTAGGTGATTTGATATACGAGACGTTTGTTTGGTACAGTAGAAGAAAAAGCCAAAGTCCTCTAGTGAATTCGTCTTCCTGGGATAAGAGGTGTCGCATTTGAATGCAAAGATTATTAGGCCTACCCTGACTTGAAGATGGCTTACTTATTAGAAGACTTGGTGACTTGTTTTCCTTCGCTCTTATTTGTTTAAATGATAGCGGGGGTTGCAATAAGAAGGGCTAGTGTTTTATTGTAAACCTATTGAACAGGAGATGAAGGCGTCATGAGAGCCGAGATAAAGAAATCCGTGTCTAGATGGTTAGCTAAGTCGTAAATCAAAGGCCTAAAAGTATCAAGGGTCAAAAGGCTGCAAAAACTACCAGTGCGAGAGTCGAACTACCCGATTATGACTTACGATTATAAGTTCTTACCTCCAACCTCTTTTACATGGAGCTTAGCTCTAGCCAAAGAGATATCCTTAATTGAAAAACCTAAAATGTAAGGAATAGGCATACATGGGATTGAAAAGGCTTATATATTAAAAAAGCATTAATTCATTATACAAAATCAAAAGGGGACATTATATAACACCAATTCCATGCAAAGTTAATTCATATCATGTTAACTATGAAATATCAAAACCTTTATCTACTAAACTTTAAAATTCTGGATCACAACATAATTTTGAGTTATCTTTAAGATGATATTGTTTTTAGAATTCATGTTAATTCATGTTAATTCATGTGGCATAAATTTAATTTCCATGCATTATGTTAATAGTTAAAGAAAAATGCATGGAAAAATTTTCATGAAATAAAATGCTAGAATAAAGCCAAATTATACTATTGGCAAAATTAAAAAGCACTGCAAAAGTCATAAATTTTCTGCTATAAAGTTCTACTTGATACTCTTTTTAATGAGCCTGGGTCACTTGGCAACTTAGAAAACATAACAGCTATGATCCAATTGAATAATTATAGAATATGATAATTGTGCTGCTACTTACTTCCATTTGGCATACAAACAATATAAGTGGCAGTTTCACATATGCAGAAACATTCTTATTAGTTATTCTACAATATGTAAAGACTATAAACAATTATGGTGAATCATAGACTAACAACAAATAGTAATAGACCTTTTGTTGGGACTATTTCCTCCTCAATTTCCCCACAGACTGTTGACAGCAAAGTGCTTTTTCCAGCCCCACCCAGTCCCAATGCTAGCAAAGAAAACTCTTCTTTCACTATCTGCTCTTTCTTGCAACATTTGCAGCAAAGCTATCAATGAAGAAAACTTTATATGAAAATCAAATTTCAAGATTAGCCAAAATTTATACTTAGTTAAAGCAGCAATCTGAAAAGCTTTCACCCTCTTTCAAATCCTTGCATAATGCAAGTAGAAACAGTCAAAATTACCTATGTCAATTCAAATTAATGAAAAAATATTTAATCTTTAATTACAAATAAAAATCAGCCAAATGTAACAATGAAATAACAGTTGGTTGTCAGCTATGTGCATGTTGTGTGGTTTTTCAATTTGTATTATCAAAGGTGATAAATTCATTGCCACCTTACGCATTAAAATTCAATATTGGAAATATTTTCTTTGTAATTTGCAGTCATAAAAAGCCATAATTTATATATATATTCATATTTCTGAGGTAGCCAAACTAGACAAAGTCTAGAAACCAAGCCTAAAAACCAAGCCTAGAAACCAAGCCTAGAAACCAAGCCTAGAAACCAAGCCAAGAAACCAAGCCAAGAAACCAAGCCTAGAAGCCAAGCCAGGAAACCAAGCAATGAAACCAAGCCTAGAAACGAAGCCTAGAAACGAAGCCTAGAAACAAAGCCAGGAAACCAAGCAATGAAACCAAGCAAGCCTAGAAACCAAGCCAGGAAACCAAGCAATGAAACCAAGCCTAGAAACAAAGCCTAGAAACCAAGCCAGGAAACCAAGCAATGAAACCAAGCCTAGAAACCTAGTCTCAAAACCAAGCCTGGACTTGAAATCAAGCCTGGAAATATTAGACTCAGATACAATTAACCTTGTGCTATTCACACGAAAGACTCATGAAGTTTAGCAGATTAATTTCACTTAAAAACTAACTTTCACTTAAGGAAACTTTGAATTTCAGTTCCAGAACTCAACAATATTCAATCTTATGGAAAAATTTAGCTTTCATGCATGCTTTTAAAATTTTTTGAATACGCCTTACAACAAAATAAAACATTGCAGCAATTAAAATTGAATACTCACTGTGTAGCATAAGATTTTACAAACACCACAAGCAAATGAGCAGCACTGGGACATTTTTCTCCCAAATGTCTCCTGTCAACTCCAACACTGTTGATTGAAAATTTCAGAATTTTTTAAAAGTTAAATACATGGTGTATTTGGCAGGTTGGAAACTTAAGGCTTGAAACTGGCATTTCAAATCTTATCAGTTGCATTCACAAGGAATTCGTGATAAGCAACTCACCTTTATCTTAGACACTTATCTAAAACTAAAACAGTTTGTGGCTACCCCTTTATCAATTGAATATACCCATGAATATTACAACCTGCACTTTACTTACGTTTCTGTTGATCAAAAACTGCCAATAGGACCCAGAGTTCTTAGATGACCAAAAGCTCAGAAACTTAATCACACTCAACCCTAAGAAAATGGTCTAAAGCCTTTCACATTTGATGGTGTGATTGGAAATGATTCCTTTGGAAGATAATACAACTATTATATAAAGTTTATATAAAGTTTGTGTATATTACATGTTGCTGGCATCAAAGCTTTTGAAGAGCAGGGTAGAAAAGCTTTTGAAGAGAAGAGAGGGAAAGGGGGTTGTGTTGAGGAATTGTTTTGTTCCCAGCTGCCCAGGTCTTATGGCTTCAGCCTGGGCAGCCGGGGGTGTAATCACAAAATTAATGTATGTACAGGGGGGTGCTCTCTCCTCTAGACTATCTACTGATAGAGCTCCTTCTATTCTTTAAGAAATTCCTGCATGCAAATCTCCTTGGTTTTTTACCATTATTTTTATTTTTGTTCTCTATTTTGCTTAATGTATGTAATTCATTTCATCGTATGTAATGTTTAATCTGTTTTTTGTAGGGTAAACCGGGGTAATTTGGGACAATTTATAGGTTTTTTTCCTACCACTGCTCCATTACAGCTTTTAGAAAGGCCAGCTTTTCATATACATTTAGGTAGTAAAAAATTACTATCTGAAGAAATTTTTTTCCTATATTCCTTTTTCGGTAATGTATCTTACATTTAAGAGCTCTGAAGCACAATTCAAGTAGGCGGTTGCTGAAGTTTACATAAATTGTCTGATTCGCTGTTAAACCATTCATCCAAAACTAATAGTGACACTGAGTTTAGCGTCAACAATCAGGTATCAACTGCTGATGGGGAGGTGCTGACCTACTATGCTGAATATGAAGATTATTTTCAGTAATGTCGTCCCAAATTACCCCATCCGCCTAACATACACATTTCAAAATGGCTTTGAAAAAAGCAAACATTTTACAACATACTTAAAGCTTTTTCGTCTGACACTCCTCAGAGCATAAAACGTCAGAATAGGTTCCGAAAAAACACGATGGAAAAATATATACCCAGTTGTGGATCGAAATAGGCCAATCAGGAAAACGCAAGCACAAGACCGGTATAGTTGACCAATCAGTGCCGCGAGCCTAAAGAAAAATTACCAATGGAGTCCAAGAGAGAAAACGAACTCCTTTTGTCTACACAATGGCGGCTTTTTCGTTTTTATGTAGATTGACTCCAAAACTGCTAGGTGGAAGGATGACCGGGCTCTGCCAATTATCCGAAACATGTCGTCATTATAGAGTTTTGCACAATCTGGGTTGTCTAAAAGATGTTGACCAATGGCAGAATCACTTGTTTTAACAGTGTTTCTAGAACTACAAGATCGAGGAGGCTGTTCTCTTTGAGGGGCAGTTTTGTTTCGTATGTTGGAAGGAACATGCTGTTTTATCCTATCCCCCAATCTTTGGGTTGTGCGTCCTACGTAGCCAGAATCACACTGGCACGTAAATTCATAAATGACGGAACTTTTTTGTTGTGTAGACAAAAGGAGTTCGTTTTCTCTCTTGGACTCCATTGGTAATTTTTCTTTAGGCTCGCGGCACTGATTGGTCAACTATACTGGTCTTGTGCTTGCGTTTTTCTGAACTGGTTATATATTTTTCCATCGTGTTTTTTCAGAACCTATTCTGACGTTTTATGCTCTGAGGAGTGTCAGACAAAAAAGCTTTTAGTATGTCGTAAAATGTTTGCTTTTTTCAAAGCCATTTTCAAATTCTGTACCGCAAAAAAATTGTTCATAAACAATTGAA